AAAAAAAAACCCTTAAGAACAGCTGCCTCTGGAATTGATTGACCTGGACTAAATTCAGTGTTCAGTCATCCAGGTACATGGAAGATCCTACAGTCACAATGTAATGGAGCACGGCTACTGCTTGCGCTACTGCCAGATGTTGGTATCATCCATGTAGCGCTGGTTTCACAGGCACACACAATGGAAGAGCTACAGGGTCAAGGAGGCCTTCGCCCCAATTTCAGAGGAAGACCATGAGTGACAGGCACTGTGCCTCTCAGCAGGCAATGCAGGCAGCTGCGAGAGGGAAGCCAAAAGTTCAACAGGGACTTAGGAAGCGGGCTGAGCCAGGAACATGGAATGCATGAGGGAGTTCAAAAGAAGTGAGCAAGGCCAGCCCAAGAGAGAGCTCAAACGGGCTAAATAGCCAACAATGTCGTAGGGGTGGGGCCACACACACCACTATTAATTCCCTCTCACATTTGGCTCCAGACATAGAACCAATGCTTACCCTGCTGGGATTCTGCCTTGCTTTGTTCTCATTGCTTTTTATATCACTATTTCTCCATTTTGGTATAGAAGTGTTTACACTGTGTCCTTGTGTGTTGGAAGCATTTAACTTCTTTTGGGTATTTATAGGGGCTCACAGCTGAGACCGTCCCTTAACTCTCAGAGGAAATTTTGGACTTGTACTTTTCAGCAATGATGGGACTGTTAAAACTTTGATGACCCTTAGAGATGGAATAAATGCCTTTTACATAAAAAGGTGTGCATGAGCCTGTTAGGCACCAGCAGCAGAATGTAAAGGTTTATATCTAGAGAGCCCCACAAAGTCACATGTGCCTAGATTAGAGCCTTTGGGGACGTGAATAGGTAGTGAGGAACCTGTAACTGACTGGCTGTCAGCAGGTGGGCTCTGGCTGGAAGTGGCCATCAGTAGAGAGTAAGGCTCATCTCCCTCCCAGCTCCTTCCTTAGTTTCTGTTTCCTGGACCTATCAAGTAAGCAGCGACCCCTTTTTCCTCCCCCCGAGCCATCCTACATTGCCTTGAAATGAAACAAGAGCCAGAATAAAATGCTTTGTTGGATATTTTGTCCCAGCTCCCCCAAGTGGCTAAAACACAGTGCCAAGAAGGCAAAAATCCCACAAATGACCTCATCTGAGCAGGGAGGGGCACTGTAGCCATGGCCCCTGGCTACCCCTGGGCAGGTCCTGCACTCACCCTTGTGTAGACCTTGATGCACAAGCTGAGCCTGAGGACCCCTTAGTACGACCTCTGACACCGCAGAGCCCTTCTCTCAGCTGGAAGGATGCTGTTGTGTCTGGTGATAGTGGGGCTACAGAGGCAGGCTGAGTGGTACTGCGAGAAGTAACCAGCTGCCCACACTTATCTCTTGGGATGTGGTCCAACTCCTAAAACCAAGGCTAGCAGAGAGGAGTGGGTGTATCTGGGGTTTAATTCATGTGCTCAAAGGGAGGCAACCTGTCCAAAATGCTAATTGGTGTTTTTGCAAAAATACACTTACTACAAAAGTATGCAGTTTGTGACATAATTACTGAGGCTTGCCAGATTGATTTGCACGTGATTTTTACGCTGCTTATAGTTGTTTGAAATAATAAGGTTCTCCTTAACAATATTTACCTAAATTCCTATCTTTAAATACTGTTATATTAACCTGCATATCATCTAGGCAGGGAGACCCTTTATGTAAATTAAGAGGTAGATAGGCTAAAAGAAATACTGTGGCCTTAATTCACCCTTCCACTAATTTACTCTTTCTTAAATTTCAAGAGATATCATACTTTCTGGTGACCTTTATGTATCAAATTGTGATAATTGATTAGAACTGAAAGTATGTTGTAGAATTTGATAAAATACATACCTATATGAAGATATATATGATCTTTTTGTGGAGAATTTTCTGAAATATCTATTAGTCCACAGAAATAAGGAAAGATAATTAACTCAGTAATTCAGCCAGTTGAATATTCACTAGGTTCAGATAATCCCGCATAACAGTTCAGTCTCCAAAATTCTGAAGTAGGGGAATCAAATCCTAAAATAAATGCTGTATTTTTAGTCTATTTGAGAAACTGCATGTTCCAGAATCCCAGGTGTCCTAGTCCACGGTTCAGGAACCTTAGCTCCCAGGCCTCCAATTTCAAGGCCTTAGGCATCTAGGGTTATGTCAGGACTACAACAGACCTCAGGAGACCTGCTGTGCTTTGACGAGGGCTGTGGCGCTTCCCAGCTGCAAGCAGGCTTGGAAGCTTCCTGCAGAGGGGCCTGGCACGTGTTCTATGTGCTTAGGAAGTGTCATCTCATCTGGGCTTGAGTGCCTGCTGGGCTCCGGGGTGCACTGATTCATCAAAAGCGAAGTCCTGAGCTAATTCTGCACGGCCTGCGAGGCATAAAATCCAACTGGACTTTTCTTTGTTCCACAAGTTGCTTCTAGAGACATGTAGTAGAATCAGATTTTTCATCCATAACAGGACAAGAATAGACCAGATTGTCCTAATGTTAAAGCCCTGATTCTGACCTTCCAGTGAGCACTCAGAGAGGCATCTTGGATAAGCCAGTCATGAAGCAGTAGTACAGTGTCCTTCTGCCTGTTCTTTGAGACCAATGATTATCACAAACAAATGTGATGCAAATTTTGGTGGCAATGTTTTCATGTTACAGCCAGGAAAACTTAAGTTATTGCACTTCCCCTAACTTCCATTTCTTTACTTTAAATTTGGATAAAAGGTGTCCATATCTCATGGAACACTGGCAAGCATTAACAAACAGTATATAGAATCCTTTAGCCCTATGCCTTAAACAACTGTTACTATTACTAACATTAATAGTCTTACATAACTAATGTTCTCAAACATTTATTTTGTTCATCCTTAATAATTTAAATAAGCTTTGGAGTAAAAACAACTTTAATAATTATTCTTAATGTTTTGCTTATAAAAATGCTTTATATTTTAACAACAGCTAAATGTGAGTAAAAATTGAACCTATTATTCTAATAATCACGGCTCTGCTAATATATTAGAAGAGAAATTTATTTTAATAGGTCTAATCACCAGGCATCAAAATTTATTTGAAATGAGAATTAAGTCAATATTTTGAACATTCTTCTGACTTCATTGTGGAAACAGAACTTTTATTAAGGAGCTCAGTAAAAAATACTAAAATGATTGTGTATGCTAATAGAGTTGTAATATACCTCTTTTTGGTAATTGTCAACAATCACAAAAATCACATGACTGTCCCATTCTTGCAAATGTAAAGACTGATTTTCCTTTTTATCAAATCATCCCAGATGATGGAGGAATCCACAATGTGCACGGTGCCTGGTGGCTTGGCTGGAGTGAAGAAACGATTTGAAAAGGATGAAATTATTTCTTCTCGCGATACTTTTTCTCAATTCCAATACCAACACCAGAACAGAACTGAACAGGTAATGCCACCATGGGGGATGGAAAAGTCAATCATGTACGGGAGTGTTGCTCCCACCAGTATAAAACTACCCCTTCCTTGGTGAATGTTTATGAACAGTACTCATTTTTTAAAACGTTGTGCATGGTACGATGACTCATGTCTATAATCCCAACTTCTCTGGAGGCAGAAGCAAGAGAATCACAAGTTCGATGGTAGTCTGGACAATAGAGCATGACCTTGTTTCAAAACAAAGATTTTATTTATTTATTTATTTCCTGTATTTAGCGCAGGGTCTACAGGGTGTTCTGGGTCTCACTATGTAGATCAGACTCATAGTGAGTTCTGTTTTCAGCCTCCTAAGTGCTGGGATTACAGGTGTGTGCCACCATGCGCAGTCTCAATCACCATCTCAGTGTGCCCCAGGGATGGGGCAGGCATGGCACTCCAGGGATTGAACCCTGGCCGCTGCACTCTGCCTAAGCAGGTGCTTTAGTCTGCTGAGCTGTGAGGCTGGCCCCAAAACAAAAATTTTAAAAAGCCAAGCATGGTGGTGTGTGTCTGTAGTCCTGGCACTGTGGGAGCCTGAGGCAAGATGATTTGCAAGTCTGAAGCC